AGAGGCAGGCGAATCTCTGTGAGTTCGAGGCCAGCCTAATCTTCAAAACGAGTTCCAGGAAAGGCGCAAAGCTATACAGAGAAACCCTGTCTTGAAAAACCAAAATAAATAAATAAATAAAATAAAAATAAAATAGACGAGATAAACAGATTAGACATAGTGATAGGAAGAAACAGTGAACTGAAAGTAAGATCTTAAAGGATTACCAAATGACACGAACTTGGGCAATATGAAGAAGGGGTAGGCAGTGGTCACTTTGCTGTCAGCTGGATTGAGTTAAGAAACAACCTAGGCTGTTCATGAGGCACGCCATTGGTTGTGCCTGAGGGTCTTTCCAGAGAGGTTGGACTGAGGGATGTCCGACCCTGGAACAGGACTGGGACTAAATTAAAGAGAAAAGGACAAAGCTCGCTGAGGACTGGCTTCCTGGCTCCCTTAGGTGCATGTGAAGTATTTGGTCACAGTGATGAGAAAGGTAGCTGATGTGGGTATTTTAGTCTGGCTGCTGCTGTAACAAGCAGTACCACACACTGGACGATTTATAAGTAGTTGAGGCTGGTAAATCCAAGAGTGTGACTCTAACATTTAGGGAAGGCTTCAGTGCTACCCTTTCATGCAGTGGAAGAAATCACATGGAGAGTGAGAGAGATGGGGTTGGGGGGGGGGTGTTTATAAATCCCACGATTACCAGCCTACTCTGTGCTATGACATTAGTTCATCCATGAAGTAAGGGCCCCCATGACCCATTCATCTCTTAAAAGGCCCCCCCCACTTTGCATCGAGGATTAAGTTTTCAATACAAGTCTACACACAGTTGCAGTCCAGGGAGGCTAAGACAGGAAGATCACAAGCCCGAGGCCAGCCCGGGACACAGAATGAGATTCTTCTAGAAAAAGAAGCAAACAAAACATTGGTAGCATTTCAATCCCAAAATGGTTAGAGATCTCCATGTTTTGGTGTGTGAAATGTCCCCTGTAAGTTCATGTGTTGGAATACTGTTTCCCACTGGTGGCGCTGTTTTCAGAGGTTCTGGAGCCTTTGGGAACCACAGCTTAGTTGGAAGAAGTGGGTCACTGCAGGTGGCCTTAAGGTGTGGTAGCTCAGCCCTGCTTCAAGCCTTGTCGCTGCTTCCTGACCCACCCCAATGAGCAAGCATCCTCCCGCCCTGCCTTGGCTGCAAGCACCCGTGCAGACTTCCCTCAAAAGGTAGCTAATGTACCTAGACTCAAGATCCCATTATAGCAGCAAAAAAAAAAAAGCAATCTTGGCTGTATAAACCACAAATAATGTTTTAGAGATAGATACAGGCAGCAAAAATATTAAATACTGAATATGATGCATTAAAAGTTTATTCCCAATGAAGATCAATTATTAATGAAAACTGAAAGGTGATGGAGTTAAACCAGTCACTTCCGGGAGAGACGGCGGGAAGGCTCATTAACTTCAACGACTAGCTTACACTAGTTTAGGAGTGAACCTTCGCTTCCCGGCCAGAAGTGGCAACACAGGGTATTTTAGAAGGTAATCCTTGTTGGCCAGCATGTGGCTAGTTTGCATGAAGTGCAGTGTTTGATCACCAGAACTGCAAGGGGAAAAGAGAAACCAGAAAACACAAATTTAAACCACGAGTGCGTTAGGACTCACGTCTGGTTTTAAGAAAGAAGCATTAGCCGGGCGGTGGTGGCGCACGCCTTTAATCCCAGCACTCGGGAGGCAGAGCCAGGCGGATCTCTGTGAGTTTGAGGCCAGCCTGGTCTCCAAAGCGAGTTCCAGGAAAGGCGCAAAGCTACACAGAGAAACCCTGTCTCGAAAAACCAAAAAAAAAAAAAGAAAGAAGCATTAGATTGAATTATAGAAAATAAAAGTGGGCAGAAAGCCTTAAAATGAAAGTAGGGAAATAAATTGAGAAAACACTACAAGAAATGTCCTGGGCACGTTAGCACCAGAGTTGGTTTTTTGTTTTTTTGACAGCATGACAAGCGGCACGGGGGTTACTGTGCAGTTATAAACAGGTTACCCCCAAGGACATAGACTTTACTCCACATAGGGAAGAGGGATGACAGTCGTTCCCAGGAAAGGCTTGTAGTCGGGAAGGTGCTATGTGTGTCACAGGAGCCTGGATGAGGTTGTGACTCAGTGAGGCTGCTTGAAAACTGGAGAATTTAGCAGTATCTACCGACTCGAAGGTGCTTAGCCTCAGCGTTTTTTGAGAGGGAATGCCCACAAAGGAGCCCACGAAGGTCGTAAAGCTTTGTGATGCTTTGCTTACGGCACTGCTTGCTGTACGTAATCCTAGGGTCCAGCCTGAGAGCAGATGAAGTTAGGGTGAGGTCACTCTGCCGGCCCATGGCTCCGAAGCATAGGCATTTCAGGGAGTGGCTTCCAAAGAGCCACTGTACTTCAGTTCTGTCGTCTGTGAAGTGGCCCTCTCAGGGTTCTCATGCTTTGTAGTGCCAAGAGGATGTCAGTCCAGATGGCACACAAATACAGGTGGGACTCGGAGATCCGCCTGCCTCTGCCTCCCAAATGCTGAGATTAAAAGTGTGTGCCACCTCCGTTAGTTGAGTAACGATTTTTTTTTAAAGATTTATTTCTGTTTTATGTGTGTTGGTACTTTGCATGCATGTGTACCGTGTATGCAGTGCCCGTGGAGGCCAGAAGAGGGCATTGGATCCCCTGGAACTGGAGTTACAGGTGGTTGTGAGCTACCTTGTGGATGCTGGGAACCAAACCCAGCCCTCTGCAAGGATAAGTGCTCGTAACCACTGAGCCACATCCCCAGCCCCAGGGTAGAGGAGTCTAAGAAACGTCACTGCAGTGTTCATGCATGTGTGCTGTGTGCATCGCATCCTCCTCATGCTCTAGCCTCATCCCCCTCCCCCCCCCCCCCCGCCCCCCTTCTCTCCTTTAGGTTCCCTGTCCCTAGCTGCCTTGGCTGTGGTCCTGGGGACCGGTGGAAATGTAGCTGTGTAGGGGTCTCTCTTGTTGGGATGGGTAAGCAGGCAGGGCCAGTTGGGGAGACTCCTGACCTGGCTGCAGGGGATGTGGGCGGGAGGCCTTCATCTATTAAAAGGCTAGGTGGCCTTGTGGTTGGAATTTTGCCATAGGCTATAAATAGCCGGTGTGAGAGTGTGAAGAAAGGGAGCCAGGGAGGAGAGAGGAAGTGGGCGGCCCCTGGGTCTCCAGCTGGCAGTAGCCTGGGTGTGGTGTGGGAGGGGTGTGGAATGTCACATGGGATGCAAAGCTTGCCGGCAGGCTTGGTGTGAGGCCTGGACTGGAAGGATCTCCACAGCCTTAGGAAGCAGGCTGTCAGTCACTTCTCCATAATGTGGCTAGGTGACTTGCTCCAGGCACACAGCTGTGAAGAAGCTGCTCTGTAGGGTTTGCTGTGAGCAGGCCTGGTCAGTTGCTCAGGTGACATCCTGAGCCTTTAGGTCCTACCTAGAGCCTTGACACGGATTTCCCAGGAAGTGCAGAGGGGCTCCTGCCTGACAGTAGCCTGAGAGAGGAGCTAGGCCAGCCTCAGGCCCGCTCTGTTTATGTTCCCCGTGTGACTCCTCATCCTGAACAGGGGGCTGATTGTTGTCCAAATGGAGGTGGATGCTCTCCTGAGCTGGAGGTTGAACCTAGGACACCGTGGAGCCAAACATCCGTGAAGCCCTGGGTTCACCCTAAGCTTGCATAGCCGGTGTGTGGCTTCATATTGAAGCCATCTGTTCTTAGTTAGCCCTTCCTTTCAAAGTCTTTCTCTAAGCAGTGCACCCACAGCGCTCTGTCCTTGTGTGTCTACCCCATCTGTTTGGGGTCAGCTTCCCAGTCTTGTGGGGGAAGCTGGGCACTTGGAGGCAATGGCGGAGGACACATACAATAGCCTCTGTGTGTCAGCCAGGCACCGTGATGTATGTCTTTAATCCCAGCAGAGGCAGGCCGATCTCTGTGAGTTTGAGGCCATTCTGGTCTACAGAGTGAGTTCCAGGACAGCCAGGGCTACACAGAGAAACCTTGTTTTGAAAAACCACACACACAAATAATAATATTGTTTCTACTTCTTATACAAGTGTTCATGGTGCCGATGCTGTCACCTTGTCCTGGGGATTGTTGGCGTTATTTTACTCACACTCTGGATGTGTCGAACAGTCCCTGCTAACATGGCTGCTGTTGTTCAGTGGGACTCCAGGTTGGAGAGAAGCAGGTCTGTACCTGGACTGGGTACTTAGTTCAACTGCCAGCTACTGCCACAGTAGCCTGGGGTATGGCGGGCAATAAAGGTGCCACCCAGGCTCCTGGCACCTTTGGAAGCTGGGTTGCTGGTGGGCTGAGGTGCAGAGGGGCTGAGTTAATGTGATTTCCTTTAGGGTTTCTAGGGTTCTAGAAGTGAGGTAGTAAATCCACCCCTTGTTGAGAGGTCCTGTGAGGTACCAAGACAGCCTTCTTTGGTGCTGTGTACTCTTTCTTATCCTACATCTGTAGGTTCATGGGGTCATTGTGGGCAAAACGGTTGGGACTGTGGCTTGTTGGTAGGGTTGATGAGAAAGACGGATTGGGTGAATGAGGCTACGCTAAGTCGGCGCGTTCAGCCATCTGGATGGAACTTCTGTTGGGGAAAGAACATGCAAGAGTGGATGGAGTGTGTCTGGGGGTGTTGGCCAAACCCAGCTGCAGAGTTGGTCTGGGATTGCAGCTTATCCTTCCTGTCTGAGAGAAATGCCCCTTGGTGACCCTGAGCTTACCCCTTTTCAGAAAGCTTAGATATTCTGCAGTACCAGGCGAGCACCAGGCAAGAACAGTGCCGGAAGGCTCCTCCCTGATTACTGGCCAGTGTGGGCAGGGGACTGAGGAAGAAAAACTAGTCTGGTCTTTCTAAGAGCTGTGGGTGGAAGGGGTTCAGCATCGAGGGCAGAGGGGTGAGTTAGTGTCTCCTGCAGGTGCCTTCAGCACGGCCTCGTTCACCGGTTACAAGCCACTGGCATCTGCTCAGCGTCTCTCCTCTCTGGGCACAGGTTCCGGGCGCGGGGAGGCTGAGACTCGGGAGTGTATCTACTACAATGCCAACTGGGAGCTAGAGCGCACCAACCAGAGCGGCCTGGAGCGCTGCGAGGGCGAACAGGACAAGCGGCTGCACTGCTACGCCTCCTGGCGCAACAGCTCCGGCACTATCGAGCTGGTGAAGAAGGGCTGCTGGCTGGATGACTTCAATTGCTACGACAGGTAACTTACGCTGGGGGCGCTCCCACTGCTGAAGCCCGCCCAGCTCTCCATCCACGGATCGCAGGATGTCTGAGCTGGAAAACGGCTTCCGAGGCAATGCCCAGGATCCCAAGCCCTTGTACTGGTGTTTGCTCTCCTCAGTTCAGGTTTCAGTGCCTGGCTGTGCCTGGCTGTCCGTCTTAGACTTGGGTCACTCTATAGCGGAAGTGGGTTCACCCACCTGCTGGTGTTCGCTGGAGCTGCTCTGTCTGTGGGGAGGGGCCTGGGAGAGCCTTGCCTTCCCTGCCCTGGAGTTTGTAACATGGACTCTGGGCTTGCAGGCAGGAGTGTGTGGCCACTGAGGAGAACCCCCAGGTGTACTTCTGCTGCTGTGAAGGCAATTTCTGCAACGAACGCTTTACCCACTTGCCAGAGCCTGGGGGCCCAGAAGGTGAGGAGCCCGTGGAAAGAAGGAAAAATGAGACACTCTGGCGCCAGGGGGCAGTGGTTGCAGGGACTACTGGAGGGTTGGAGTGGGCGGGCTGTGTGACACAGGGCTCCATATGTCCCCCAGTCACGTACGAGCCACCCCCGACAGCCCCCACCCTGCTCACGGTGCTGGCCTACTCGCTGCTGCCCATTGGGGGCCTCTCCCTTATCGTCCTGCTGGCCTTCTGGATGTATCGCCATCGCAAGCCTCCCTACGGCCATGTGGACATCCATGAGGTGAGGCAGTGTCAGCATGGGACAGGGCTGGGAGGAGGAATGGCTGGGCAGACTCCCGTTAGCCCTTGCTTTCCCAGGATCCTGGGCCTCCACCCCCATCCCCGCTGGTGGGCCTGAAGCCACTGCAGCTGCTGGAGATCAAGGCTCGGGGTCGCTTTGGCTGCGTTTGGAAGGCTCAACTCATGAATGACTTTGTAGCTGTAAAGATCTTCCCCCTCCAGGTGAGCTTCTGGGGGCATCCAGGCCATCTTCTCTCACTGTGGTCTTCGGTAGAGTCTCAACCATAGGGCCATCCATACTCCTGATCACATGGTGAGAGTCCATCAGAGGATTAGGGTCAGATGCTGCCAAACTTTGACCCATGTTGGTTTGGGGTTTTGCTGTTACTTCTGTGTATGTGACTCACACGTTCATGTAGGCACAGGTGTGTGTGTGGAGGCCAGAGTTTGACACTTGAGTGTTTTCCTTTATTGCACTCTACCTTTTTTTTTTTTTTTTTTTTTGAGACAGTTTCAGTATGTAGTCCTGGCTGGCTTGGAACCCACAGAGATCTACCTGCCTCCACCTCCCACATGCTGGAATTAAAGGTGTGTACCACCATGCCTGGCTCTCCACCTTTTACAAATTTTTTTATTTTTTGTAGTCGGATGTCTTCTTGTGTCCCACCTGGTCTCTGCAGCCACTCAGTCCCAAGTAACACACAGAGGCTTATATTAATTACAAGCTATATGGTCTATGGCTCAGGCTTCTTGCTAGCTAGCTCTTTCATCTTAAATTAACCTATTTCTGTTAATCTGTATGTTGCCATGTGGCCATGGCATTACCGGTCTGCTGGCATCTTGTTGCTCCTTGGGCAGCAGACTGGTATCTCTCCTGACTCCACCCTTCTTGTCTCTGTCTTCCATTTGAATGTACCGCCTAACCTTATTCTGCCTTGCCATTGGCCAAACAACTTAATTTATCAACCAATGAGAGCAACACATATTCACAGTTATAGAAAGACATCCGACAGCACTTTCCCTTTTCTATCTAATCAAAAAGGAAGGTTTTAACTTTAAATAGTAAAATTATATATAGCAGAGTTTTCAAGCAAGAATTACAGTTATAATATCTAGTCTATCTGTATTTGGTAAAATTAAAGAAAATATTCTATCATCAATCCTATATATGTGAGTCTGAAGTTTTATATTTAATTTACCTTTTATCATAACTAAGGAAAACTATAATTATAACGATCAGTCTTCAACTCCATCAAAGACCCTAGAAGGACCTATTACCTAAGTAAACAAGAAGTGCATTGTAAGCAACTTCCAAAACTCTAGAAATGACAGAGACATCTGGCTGCCTGGACAGTCACCCAAAGTTCCTCTGCAACATTGGGGCATCCATCTTCAGCCTACAGGCCTAGAGTCTCTGGAAGACTTTTTAGGGAAGCAGGAAATTTGAAGGATTGTCTCGCCTATTGGCAAAGTTCATCAGTCACTTTCCTCTGTGTCCTGCAGAATGTCTGGCAGTATCTTCTGTGAAGCAGGAACCTGAAGGACCATCTCACCCTGTTTAGGCAAAGTATAGTGGTTATTTTCCTATGGGTTCTGTATGTTCAGTTTATCCAACATACTGTCAAGCAGTCCAGGCAAGAGCAATTTCTTGCCCTAGTGGCCAGTTTTGCCAAGAAGAAGATAAACTCCATATGGAGTGTCTTGAATGCCCATCTTCCTCTTTGAAGTAAATTGGTCCTGCCAGAAGCAGACATGTCTCACTGTCCAGAAAAGTATAAGTTTTAAAACATTTTAGATGCCATATTCTGTAGGCCTTTGAAGTATTTGAAGATTACCTACCTAATTGAAATTTATCTATGTATACCTAGAAAACTTAACTAACGTGACTATCAGTTTGCTTATCATAGATGAATAATTATTAATCTGTATTTCTTAATTATACATTACAATTTTAAGTGAATTACATAAACCTAATACCTTAAACAAGAGTTTATGTATATACAGTACATATACAAGAAATATATATACAGTATTACAAAATTAACTTTAAATTTTTATCAATAAGCTAAAATCAATAGCAATGTGAAACAATTCAAACAAGTTGTTGCTCTTTAAAAGTAAATTCAGCCAAACACCCTAATTGTTGTGCTAGAAACCTCATCCAACTACTGAGGGATCTGGATGCAGAGATCCATGACTAGGCCCCGGGTGAATCTCTGGGAGTCCAATTAGTGAGAATGAGGAGGGTTTATATGAGCGAGAATTGTTGAGACCAAGGTTGGATAAAGCACAGGGACAAATAGCCAAACGAATGGAAACACATGAACTATGAACCAATGGCTGCGGGGTCCCCACTGGATCAGGCCCTCCGAATGGGTGAGACAGTTGATTGGCTTGATCTGTTTGGGAGGCATCCAGGCAGTGGGACCAGATCTTGTGCTCATTGCATGAGTTGGCTGTTTGAAACCTGGGGCCTATGCAGGATTGTTTGGCTCGGCCTGGGAGGAGGGGACTAGACCTACCTGGACTGAGTCTACCAGGTTGACCTCAGTCTGTGGGGAAGGCTTTGCCCTGGAGGAGATGGGAATGGGGGGGGGGTTTGGGGGGAAGGTGAGGGGGACGGGAGGGGGGGAGAACAAGGGAATCCGTGGCTGATATGTAGAACTGAATTGTATTGCAAAATAAATTAAAAAAAAAAAAGTAAATTCAGTAATCTACCCTTTCATCCTATCATATCTGTATCTCTTTTTCTTCTTTAGAAAGAGATTGCATTTATAATTAACCTCCTTTAAATAAAAATAAACATTTATAAATAATATTTTGAGAATCTGGGCATAGCTTTTCATACTAATTCCTGCTGATTGGGGGTGCTGGTAATCTTATGGGGATACTGAGAAAAATCAAGATAATGGTCAAGTCCTGGGAAGACCGGCTATAACCTTTGTTGATAGATACCATCTGTCAAGGTTCAGGAGGCCTTGCTTGATCAAATCTGATCCATCTTAACCTGGAACAAATCCACAGTTTCTTTCTTCCTGTGGAAACAAAAGCATAGTCTCTTTTCCAAAGCAACATATCCTTAGATCCAAATTTTGAAGTCAAGATACTTTTAAAATATATCTCCTCTTCTTTTAAGAGGTCACATACAATGGCAACAAACACTGCCTCCTTTGGGCAGTACATAGCCCTAGCTATATGTGGGCAGAGCAAATATTATTTATTTATTATGTATACAGTGTTCTGTCTGCATGTATGCCTACTTGCCAGAAGAGGGAACCAGATCTCATTATAGATGGTTGTGAGCCACCATGTGGTTGCTAGGAATTGAACTCAGGACTTTTGGAAGAGCAGCCAGTAGCCAGTGCTCTTAACCTCTGAGCCATCTTTCCAGCCCCCCAATTTTTTATTTTTATTTATTTTTAATAAAAAATATTTATTTTTATGTGTGTGGGTGTTTTGTCTGCATGTATCTGTGTGTACCACATACATACCTGGAACCTGTGGAGGCCAGAAGAGGGTATTGGATCCCTGGAACTGGAGTTACAGACAATTGTGAGCCTCCATGTATGTGCCGAGAATTGAACCTGGGTACTCAGGAAGAGCAGCCAGTGCTCTTAATCCCAGAGCCACCTCTCTAGTTTCTTACTTTTTAATTTTTTCGAGACAAGGTCTCTCACTGAGCCTGGAGCTCACTGATTGGATAGACTAGTTTGCAAGCAAGTCCCAGGGACCCTCTGTCTCTGCCCCTCCGGCTTCCAGCACTGGGCCACAGGCTGACATGACACTTGACTTTATGTAGCTGTCGGAGATCCGAACTTGGGTCTTTGTGCTTGCCACGCAGGATCTTTACCTCCTGAGTCATCTCTCCAGTCCCTGGGTTTGGTTTTTGACATTAAGATCTCCTCAGAGGCTTCAGACCCAGGCAATCCCAGTAGTTGTTGCCCAAGACACTTAGAAGATCGAGCACCTGCAGGCTGGCACTGGGCACCTCACTTGGTGTTTGTGATCCCGTTTGTAAATCAGGGTGCTGGTGTCAGCCACCTCGGAGGTTGTGGTTGGCCTGGTTCTACAGATGCCTTTTGCAAGTGCTGGGGCTGGGAAGCCAAGGACTGGGCATGGAGATGGGTGTGTTGGGTGGCTGTGCTGCTGTGGGGCTCTGAGAGGCAAGACTGAGCTGCCTCCCTCCCTGCCTCAGGACAAGCAGTCGTGGCAGAGTGAACGGGAGATCTTCAGCACACCCGGCATGAAGCACGAGAACCTGTTGCAGTTCATTGCCGCCGAGAAGCGAGGCTCCAACCTGGAGGTGGAGCTGTGGCTCATCACAGCCTTCCACGACAAGGTGAGCTACACCCACCAGAGAGACCCCAATGAGACAGATCGTTCTCATGACCCCTGACCCCTTCCTGTGTCAGGTGCACCTCTCTCCCCAGTCACTTGTATGGCAAGAATCACCACTCTGCCCACCTGGCACTTTTGCAGTGAGATAGATGTTCCTCCTGGGACTTGGCTGGGTTGCATCTTGTTCTGCATTTGGAGCCTTTGCCCACAGTCTGTGCTGCCTTCTTTTAGGGCTCCCTCACGGATTACCTCAAGGGGAACATCATCACGTGGAATGAACTATGTCATGTGGCAGAGACGATGTCACGAGGCCTCTCATACCTGCATGAGGATGTGCCCTGGTGTCGTGGTGAGGGCCACAAGCCTTCTATTGCCCACAGGTATATGGGTTAAGGAGCCCCCCTGATATGTGCTGGGGTTGCCCAGAGGGCTGGTCTTGGAAACCAGAGGTGACTCCCCTTCCTGAATGTGTCTGTGGCGTGTGGAAGCAAACCTGGCCTTCCTGTGTGTTGGAGATGGCTAGCTTTCCATGTCGGTGTTCTGGAGCCCTCTACTGGGCATACGAGGAAGTGCTACCTCCTTTAGGAGAGCTGTTCTCAGATTTTGGTCAAGACCATTTTGTATCCTTAAAAGGACTCTATTTATCTAATCTATGTAGGTTATGTTTGCTGATGTTTACTGGTGTACAGCACGTGTGTTTGGTTATGTATCATGGCGATGACATTATACTGGGATGAAGGCAAATGGTATATTACTACAAAAATGATTTGACCTCACAGGGCTCTTAAAATTGTCTTAGGGGGGTTGGGGATTTAGCTCAGTGGTAGAACGCTTGAAGGCCCTGGGTTTGGTCCTCAGCTCCGACAAAAACAAAAAACAAACAAACAAACAAACAAAAAACTGTCTTAGGATCTTTTAGGACTTCTGAGCCATATCTTTTTTTTTTTTTTCCAGACAGGGTTTCTCTGTGTAGCCCAGGCTGTCCTAGAACTCACTCTGTAGACCAGCCTGACCTTGAACTCTGAGATCCACCTGTTTCTGCCTCCCAAATGCTGGGATCAAAGGCATGTACCACCACCACCCAGCCATACTTTTGTTTTTTGAGTTAGCGTTTCATTATGTAGCTCAGGCTACCCTTGAACTCATGACTCCTACAGCCTTCCAGACTCTGGGCTTGTAGACATGAGCCATCATGCCAGCCTTGAGTCACTCCTTAAGAACCACCTAGTTAACTTGGCACTGTTGTGTCCTATTAAATGGTACACAGTGGGGCTGGGTGGGTAGTGCACACCTTTAATCCCAGCACTAGGGAGGCAGGAGCAGATGGAGCTCTGTGAGTTCAAGGCCAGCCTGGACTACATAGTGATTTCTAGGTCACCTAAGGCCACACAGCGAGACCCTTCTCAACACCCCCCCCCCCCCCCCCGCCACCCCCACCCCCCAAAGAAGACACTGTTCCAAACGCTCAAGAAATGCCAACTCACTGAACCTTGTTCCGATAGGTGAGGTGGAGCTGTCCTTGGCCCCTCCGCACAGGTGATGGAGCAATAGTAGATGCAGCTGAATCAAGGCCCCACAGCTACTTCAGTCTGGTCTGTGACTGACGGAGGGGCTCCTGGTGGTGTTGACAGTCGTGACATACATGAGGCAGAGTTGACTCTTGCATGTAGTTCAGCTTAACAACAATGCTTAGTAAGTGTTGGGGTGAGCTGACGAATCTGTAGTCCTCAGTTTAATGTTCACAGCAAGGCTGCGATAGAAGCTGGGAGAACTGAGGACTGCAGAGCTGAGAGCCTGCACACACTCTTGCTCTGCTCTGCCTGTGCAGCTTTGGCAAGCTAATTTTAAATTCTTGCTCCATTCCAAATATGGTAAACTTCTCGGAAGACTCATGTGCCGTGCCCTCTGAGAATTTACTGTCTGGCCTTTAGAACTGTGGTATAGGGTCTGCCCAGCCACCATGGGACCTGCTTGCAGGCTCCAGCAGAAGCCTTCCAGAGAAGGCGGGTGAGGGACTCCCAGGCAGTTTTGCCTCCTGCCCCAGAGAACTGGGGATGGTAGAGCTGCAAGCCCCAGCTCTAGTACTTTGAGAGCCATGTCGAGAAGAGGATCGTGATCTGTCGTCGACTGGATGCTGGGCTTCAGCGAGTCTGTTGGTCTCCACAGGGACTTCAAAAGCAAAAATGTGCTGCTGAAGAGTGACCTCACTGCTGTGCTGGCAGACTTCGGCCTGGCCGTTCGGTTCGAGCCAGGGAAGCCTCCAGGGGACACCCATGGGCAGGTAAGGAGTCTGGGTGGCAGGAGTATGGGCTGGCATAGGGCTGATGCTCAGGGGATCAGCTGGAGCAACTTTGGAGCTACCCGGGAACTTAGAACCAGGGCTCTTATCTCACCAGCCGGGAAACCAAGGCCTGGAGGTTGGTGACGCTTCCTCTGGCCAGTCAGCTGAACAATCCAGGCTCCCCATTTGGCCTTCAGCCACTCCTCCTGTATGTCAGTCTTTCTCTTTTGTTGTAATCATTTATTTTAAAAAAGTACCTTTAGTGTGTGTGTGTGTGTGTGCGCGCGCGCGCTTGCTTTAGTTAGGGGACAACTTTAGGAAGCCAGTTACTTTTTTCAGAGCGTGTGGGTCCCTTGGATTGAACTCTGCTTGTCAGACTTGACAAGCAGCAGCTTTACCCCGGAACCACCCACCTGCCCTCAGTTGTAATTACTAAGTGAGATAAAATGAGAGGAAAGGTGCTGAGAATCCCAACCAAATACCTACACGAAGCAGTGAAAAACTAAGCCAGCAAGTCATTCTGGAGAGTCACTGGTGTTTTTAAATGCATTCTCACTGTTTTGTTTTGGCCTCTTAAATGTTGCTTTATTTCCTTACTTAGCATGTGTTTTCCCATTTGAATGTGGAAGCCTGAGGTAGTCACTGGGCATCTTCCTTGGTCATCTGCCACCTTGATGTTAAGGCTGGGTCTTCCGCTTGAGCCTAGAGCTCACCAGTTGGTCCAGCCAGCTGGCTCGGGGACCCCCGCTCTGTCTCCCAGGTATTGGTGTTGCAGGCAGGCTGTATTTATGTGGATTCTAGATATCGTAAACGTCCATTTTCACACTTGAGTGACAAATACCAGAGGCGCTAAACCGTCTCTTCACTCCCTTGTTTATTAGAGGGTCTCTCTGTGTAGTTCAGGCTGGTCTGAACTCTTGACTCTCTTCACTCCCTTGTTTATTAGAGGGTCTCTCTGTGTAGTTCAGGCTGGTCTGAACTCTTGACTCTCTTGCCTCACCTTTTAAGTGTCTGGCTTTGCTTCAGGTATTAATCTCGTAGAGTCCAAAGCCTCAGAATAGCTTGTTGGGATGCTTAAGGACCAGTGTAACTATTTCCTCAGTGCTGTCTCCAGTTTGTGATATTTTTACAGTTATCATCAGATAGAATCTTAACTCTGATGGAGTAGGGCTTTGCCTCAGAGGCTTTGTGTTTTGAATTCCTCTGTCTTCACCTGTCTGTGCACACAGGCTACGGTTCTCCCGGCTTAGTGTGTGTTTGAGTGGTCTCTGGAAACCCTGTCCTCCCCTGTCTTCATGTAGGTTGGCACTAGACGGTACATGGCCCCTGAGGTGCTGGAGGGAGCCATCAACTTCCAGAGAGACGCCTTCCTGCGCATCGACATGTACGCCATGGGGCTGGTGCTTTGGGAGCTTGTTTCTCGTTGCAAGGCTGCAGATGGTGAGTGGATTGGCAGCCCTGGGTGTCCTGGGTTGGGAACCAGGAGCTGGGCCTTGTGTGATCTCACCAGCCTCTCACCTCTCAGGGCCTGTTGATGAGTACATGCTGCCCTTTGAGGAGGAGATTGGCCAACACCCTTCACTGGAGGAACTGCAAGAGGTGGTTGTCCACAAGAAGATGAGGCCTGCCATTAAGGATCACTGGCTGAAGCATCCGGTGAGGGAGCTGGGTTCAGGAGACTTTTGAGGGAAGGAAGGGGAGGGGACCTGCCTTGTATGTCAGGAGCCTAGGAACAAGGGAAAGCTGCCATGTTCCCTGGACCCTAGGGAGGTATCTCTGAGGTTGTGGGGAATAAGGTAGGCCCTGGCCTCCTTCTTGTTTCCACTGTGGCTCAACTGCTAAAGTTGGACCTTTGTGTTTGGGCTTTACGTACAATTTGATTTGAGTCTGGTGCTCCAAGGCTAGCAGCTACATCTGCCCCGGGGTATAGGAGTTCCTCTTCTTCCTGTGTTGAAGTTTAGTGAACATTCCCCTGGGGCTCTAAGGGAGGCCCAGACTCTGGGGTGACTAACGGGGGCAGGGGTCTGGGGGCCTGCAATCCGCAGCCTTCTAATTGACCTGCAATGGCTGTGACTAGGTCATGGGTTCTGTCTGATCCCCTGACACATCATCACTGCTGCCCTCACTACGGAGCCCTAACAGGCCTTCTTCTCTCCCTCCCACTGCTCCGCAGGGCCTGGCCCAGCTCTGTGTGACCATTGAGGAGTGCTGGGACCATGATGCAGAGGCTCGCCTTTCTGCAGGCTGTGTGGAGGAGCGGGTGTCCCTGATCAGGAGGTCGGTCAACGGCACTACCTCGGACTGTCTCGTCTCTCTGGTGACCTCTGTCACCAACGTGGACCTGCCCCCTAAAGAGTCCAGCATCTAAGCCTAGGATACGAGTGTCTCTCCAGACTCAGTGGATCTGAAGAAAAAAGGAGAAACGTTGTGTTTTGTTTTGGAAATCCCATAAAACCAACAAACACATAAGATGCAGCTGCTACTTCACCTTGACTTTTATTATTATTATAATTATTATTAATAATATTATTTTTGGATTGGATCAGTTTTTACCAGCATATTGTTCTACTGTATCGCAAACAGCGGACACGTCAGCAGGCGTTGAGGTGCTGAGCTGTGAACGCAGAACCAGCGCCATGCTGCAGAGCCTCAGCCACCTCAGCCACCTCCTGTCCTTCGGGATCCATTTCCGCCAGCGTTCTCTTTGTCGTCTCAGAATCTGTATCACAGAGAAACCCGTCTCCTGTCTAGGGAAACTCAATGCTGCAATCTCTACTAGAGGAACCTTTGAAGACTGTTACATGAACATACCCTTCCTCAGAAGAGGGTCCCCCACCCTTTACTTTGTGTTTCTCCCTTTCCAGGCAGTGAGCTTAAGAAATGGCAGATGTGTCTTCATGGAGCTAGTGGGTGTCATCCTGACCCAACAGAGGGAAACTGAGATGATGCTTTAGACTGACGTTGGAAGGGAGGATGTTCTGGGGAGGGTTTGGAGCAGAGCTACACTGGACATGGGCACATTTGGAGCAACACTCTTGGTATGGAGGCTGTTTTCTCAGGTAACAAGGGATTGAGGGTAAGGACTTATGGGGCCGAGCAGTAATAATAGCAAGCACAGGGTCTGGAGAAAGTCCAGGAGCAGGGCCAGGCTGCCCCCCTGCCCGGTTTCTTCCCACTGACATGGGCTTGGCCGCAGGAGGAAGCACTTCCTTGCTCGTGTGTTAGGACTGGGGGAGGATGTGACAGTTTAGTGGACACTCTAGACATGATGCTGTAGATCTCTTTCATGGAGGAAATACTGAACTGCAGTTTCTTCTTGGCAGTTTGGGGAAATGCCCATGGTGGGCCCCCGCACAGTGTGGGTGGCCCAGGGGATCCCTGGGTGGGGACCTTGCTGGCCTGCCGCTCTGGCTTGACCCCATGCAGCGGAATTACTGACTCCTTTCTGAGGCTCATGGACACGGCTTTCTCCAGACCCTTTAAAGTGGTGCATATTCTAAAACTGTTTTTCTATTACGCCATAACCTTGCTCCAGGCGCTGAATGTTCCTAATGCTGCTGTTTCGACATTGGAATTTTTTTTTTTTTAATTTATGAAACATGCTAATTCTTTTTCAGACAAAACACACACATCCACATATATACACATACTTTACTGTGTGGCTTCCGAGGTTTAAATTTTAAAAAGTAAAAGAAGTAACTTCACGACCACAGACCACCTCAAACCAGAAATACCTCAGAATTTTCTACTTGTACGTTTTATTAATTATGTATTTTGTTAGTTGTGTTGTCTTGTAGGAAGTATATTTTAATGTAAGTTGGCTTTTATGACAAGGAAGTTTAAAAGAAATAGAGAAAAAGAAAAAAGTTTGTGTCTTCTAGTCAGGACTACCATTTTTGTTTGATAAAAGCTCCCTTGTAAATAATTGTCGTCAGCTGTAGGTGGCTGTCTGAGCTGAGTCTGGGCATTCGTCACTCTGGTTTAGACCATATTATTTAAACAGCACATCTCTGTCTTGAGGGTAGGCCACTTCCTCCTAGGTTGCTTCGAGGGTCAGGTGTTGTTCCATAAGTCCCCTGGGTAGTATTCAGGATGACACCCCTATTTTAACTGGGCAGAACCACAGCCCTCAGACCCCCTCAGTAGTTCTTGAGGGTTAATTCCTTGGGCAGCAGGTAGACTCTGTAGCGCCTGTCACTGTGCCGTGAAGTCTGGGAGGGCACAGCTCACGGCTGGGCAGTCGCCCCCCTCAGCGTGTCGTGTGTGGTGCCTGGGGCAGCCCTGGGCTTGTTCTTTCCTGTGGGTGTCTGTGCACAGGGTGCTGAGGAAGGTCTGCTGGCTTCCCTCTCAGACCTTGGCCTTTGTCTCCGTGGATCACTGTGGGCTGGCCAGGTAGGTAGGGAGACGTGTGCTTTGTTTCTGTGAGTTACGTGTGACCCCTCCGCCCCCATTTGATTTTGTGCTGTGGTATTTTCTTCTCTCAGAATGCTTTTTTCTAGCAAAACAGGTCTTACAGCAGTTGCTTTTCTTTTCTCTTCTTTCTTTAAGGAGCTTTAAATATTTATTGAAAAGTGCCATATCTGCTTCCGTTAGCTTTCTCCTCAGGCAGTGGGGACCTCTACTTTTAACAAACAAACCACTAAGAAATGTAGCGACTTAGCTGCAGGAGTGACCCAGTCACCAGTCACACGATGTGCCAAACAGTAAACCCATCTTCCCTGTGTGACCTTGTGACCTGGGTGGGCTTCTCTGCTTGTCATAAGCATCCTGGCCTGGCTGAGCTCTGGTGTGGGACATCCCAGTCATGACACATTGCAGGCAGGGCAGGCCTGATACCTTTTCTGGGGGTGGCCCCCCTCTTTGCTGACCCTGTGTCCAGCCACAGCAGTGTCCATGTCAGGCTTTGCATCGGAATGGAGTGTCAAGAGGTGGAACCTGTTTGCTGTGGCCTAGAAAAGGGAGAGTCTGGGTGGTGGTGTCTGTGAATAGGGGCTGGAAACCTCCTTGAGCTTCAGGTAACACACCCAGTTGCTCATGCTGGAAGCTAGGTGATCTCCCAGGGTGTGGCCTGGAAACTTGGGTGGCCTTTGTTTTCCTTCCTTCCTTCCTTCCTTCCTTCCTTCCTTCCTTCCTTCCTTCCTTCCTTCCTTCCTTCCTTTCTTTTTCTTCTTCTTCTTCTTCTTGTGTCCAGTTGGGTCAAGGGGCCTCTGCCTTGCATTTTCCCACAGGTTTCATATCACTTCCCTTCTAGTCTCCTCTCCCCAAAGCTTTTTGGAAGACTGAGGAAGTCCGTGTGTGTGGAAAGGGATGAGATAAGTCGGGGAGAAATGGCTAGAGATGCTTTCTTCTTCCGACACTGCATGTTGTGGTCCAAACAGGCTCCTGTGGCAGTGGGCTTTGGCGGAGAATGTTCTGGTTAAAATGCCTGTGATAATAGGCAGTCATTTGTTGCCAGAGATTTCTGTGAATATGTCAGAGAAGGACAAAAGAGGCAAGGACAGGGCTGCTGAGTTGTGGAGCTCTGCAGAGAACCCTCATTGACGGGATGGCAAGGAAGCCTAGGAACAGTCATTGGCATCTGGGCTGACGGGCTGGCCTGGCACCATGGACACCAGATGTAAGGGCAGGTGCTGGGTCTTCTGCTCACACATCCACAGCAAAGGGCAGATCTGTTTCTCATCACTAGGCTACCAGGCTTGCTGGGTGGGGCTGGGCCAGCCTTCCCGACTGGGCTTGAGCTTCTAGCACAGTGTGTGGGCTGCCACTCTGCTCCCTGGAGTTGACCACACCCTTGGCCCTCTCTGTCTTGCTGCTCTGCCCTGGGGCTTGGGCTTTATGAATGGTTTTAATTGGTAGCCAGCCTACAAATATTTGATGTTTGCCATGTGCTTTTTGGCTCAGAAAGCCTGTCATGTGGTGGTTCCTATGCTTAGCCACTTAGGCGAAGAAGTGACTGTTTCATCCAGAGCTAGAGAACTGGATGGCTCTCTTACACACAGAATTTTACCTGTTTAGTGTGTGGAGTTCCTGGTGTGTATTGCTGGGTAGGAGGATATCTTGTTTGTTTTTCCTATATAATAATACAGCAAAGCTACTGTATTAAAAGTTGAATTCCCACCGTTGTTCTCAAGACCTTCTTCATTAGATACATCCCCGAATCAGAGAGCAGTTTCCAGTTCATTCAGCTTGATCCTAAGCATTAGCTATTTCATCTTTTTGGACTATTGGTAGCACAGCTTTGGAGAGATGATCAAGCCCCGGTCTACATTTCAGGAGTGGTAGATGACGCCTTTCCCAGAAGTTCAGCATGCTCTCCGACCATCCATCTGCTAACTAGAGAAACAGCCAGAAAGGATGGTGGTAAGGTGTCCCTTTTCTCTCAGCTTGGGTGACATGAACTCCCCTTCATCACTGGCCGTTTGCAAAGACTCAGTTGAGAAGTACTGGCTTGTTCGGCCTGGTGACAGATTTCAATCTCAGCTAACACTGGCCCAGTAATTCAGCTGATGAGTTTTTCACCGTCTAGATGATAAACTTTCTATGCATTCAGGATTCAATGTATAGCTCTATATGCGCAATTCTGAGTAGCCCTACTGTGAATGTACCCCAGACCTCAAGGAGGTTTAGGGAAGTGTTTTGGGATAATGATTTAGTTTTATAGGAAAAATAAATTAAGTTTAAAACACTTCCTTGGGAATCAACTAGTTGATTCAACCACATTTAAAAAAATTAGTTCAAAAGGCCTGTAAACTATCAATAAATCAGCCCAAGTTTTTTGGTGGGCTATTGGGACTTATTTGTGATTACTCTAAATCACTGTTGGGCTGACAATTTGAATTGAGATCAGGAATGCCTACATCTTTTTTTTTTTTTTTCCTAAACCAATTTTTAGCATTTTTCATGCTGGCATCTTCCAGGTGTGAAGGAAGGGAGACTTTGCTCTAGTGGTGCTACGCGCATCTCCGTAGTGCCCAAGCCAGCGCTACTTCCCCCATCCATGGCAGCACCTGGCGATGTCTCCCTCAAGAATTAAAACGCCAGTGTGGGGCAGTGGGCCCTGCAGGGCCTCCTGTTCTCCAGGCCAGCATCTGTTTACTGTCTCAGCTGAGTTAGTGTGTGCAGCCAGATGGGTGCATTCAAACGGGGAGATCTGGACCTCTGCAGATGAGAGGTACTGTGTTCATTTGTAAACTTTGTGTCTGAGTTTACAGTGAGGAGAAGTGTGACCCCATTAGTTTTTTTGGGCAAGCAAAGGCGGTTTTTTTGTGAATGAACAAACCCTGTCTCAAGTCCTTGAGCATCCACGCTTGTTGCACAGGCCCGTTCCTGACGCCTGACCACTTTGCATCAGTGTTCTTAGATAGAGTTGTAAATAAAAGAGTAGCTGTGTGACAGACACCTCTTGAAGTTTCACTTTATGAAGTCTAGCGCCACACATGCGTTTGGTTCTGTCACTCGACAGTTGCTCCACACCGTGTGGAGATTGTTTTATACCACAGATTATTTTTATAAACTAGTGAGTTGGAGTGAGAATGCTTCTGTAATCCAAGGCCATGAGCTTTACTTTCAGGATCATGCGCACACTGGAGTGTGAGTGCTGGAGCTTAGCGCTTGCACGGGTTCCTGAATACACTGGCAGCCTAGAGTCCTTTTACGGGTCCCCTTGGCCTATGCTCCTCTCACAGGGTAGTGATGTCTCTGCCCTGCTCCCTGCCTGTGGAGAGGACAGTGGCTGGGTGAAGGGAGGGGCTTGTAGTGGGTTTGATTTCTGCTGAACAAAGGGTTCTGATGGTGAAAGTTTGTCTGCTCCTTACATAAGAGGGAGTCACGACAGTGGGTCCGGAAGCGGAAGCGGTAGGACAGAGCCGTGAAGGAACGGGTCTAGAGAAAGGTTTGGGCTACAGAAGACATTGACGTGGGGATTTGGTGGCCTGAGTTCCACTAACCAGAACTATCTAGGACCAAACAAATTCTTTGGAAATGGTGGGGCGCATGGATATAGTGACGGAATTAAGCGGGGAGCCCCAGGAGTTTTGCCCCTTTTGATCAGGGCCGCTTTTCTGCTCTAACTGTTGTGAACCAGGAACCCACAGAGGAAGGTCAGAGGGGGTGTCTTTCAGATGCCCGCAGAGGGCTTCTGTCAAGGCCTAGGCAGCCTTCATCTCACCTTTTGGATGGTTGCTTAGGTGGGGCTTTGCATGGGGTACAGGGAGGCAGATAATTCAGTGAAGTCCTTTGTCCCATGGCCAGGTCTGAGGTCCGGCGGAAGGCCTCTTCCCTACACGCTGCCTGCTGGCTCCAGCCTGCTGCTTAGAGAACTACACTGGACGGGGCCCTCCTGCTCAGAGACCCTTAGTGTGCCCTTTGAAACCAACTGTGCTCCCTGTTCATCCTGGTTTAGAATGTTGTTCTACTTGGGACACTTAGTTCCAGATCTCGCTGCGTTCTGGAAGCCAGTTCCCCCCGTTCTGGTCCCCATAAAGAACACGTCTGTGCTCTGCGGCCGCCTGTCTTGGAATGTAATTCTGTTGTGCCTTTGTTTTTGTCAGCCACCCCTCAAAAGCAACTGCTGTAAGCTCTCTCCCTGTCTTTTCTAGCCCCGCCCCTTCCCCGTCTCCCCCTTTCCAGCCCTCATTTCTGGATGCACTTGTGTGATCCGGGTACTTTAAGAACCAGTTACCTCAGACCTCGTGTTGAACGGTATCACCGTCTGGGCCCTCTCGATACTGCTGACTTTTACCACACATGCAGGAGGTCCGCTGAGTGTGGCCACTGACTTGTTTTAAAGCAAAGCTCTCCCAGTGGACCCAGGGGCTTCTGGCAAGCCTGTGCTGGCACTGTGGTGGGACTGGTTGGGAGTGTCATCCGAACGGTGCTTTCTGTGTCCTGTGTGTTCTGCCGTGTTCAGTATTCTCACGTGTCTGAATAGGCAAAGCAACCTAACTGGCTGGTCTCGCACGCAAATCAGCTCCAAAGATGAGCTCTTTGTAACACATCTCCAGTCGCTAGAGCTCAGACATAGAGCATTCCTTCAAACAGCAGGGTAGAAGCCCCCCGTCCACTGCCACAGTGCATTCTGGGAAGATGTCTGTAGTATACGTTGCTGTGGAATTAGGCCTTGTGGGATATGGCTGCTTGTCATTTTGATGTATTTTAAATAAATATATATATATATTTTTAAAGAGCCTTTTTTACCAGTTCAAAAAGCTTAATTAACCAGCTATCACCACATCTGAATTTTTGTCTCTGGGGCATAGACAGCAGGCTGAGATTAAAAGTGGTAACTCAGCCATGAGCTGCCTGCCCTGGGCTGTCCCGCTGACCATGGGACACCAGGGTCGGCGTGTTCCTGGTATGTTTTAACTCAGCCCTCTGGGTGTCTGGTGTCGGCCCCCGCTGAGTGGACTGTTGACTTCGGTCCCTGTAAGTGCTTTAGCCTAGTGGGGTTTTCCCAGAGCACTGCCACAAGTTAAGTGTATGAATTTAGCCAAATAATTTCTCCATAAGGGAAAAGCATGACAGAGACCAGAGTAGGAAACACTAGTTGTCAGAGGCCGCCTGGGAGCAAGCAGTTGTCACATGGGCCACGCCAGGGCCATCAGCAAGAGCGCAACTGTTCAGATGCCAGCGGCTTGCTTTCCCTCAGTTGTTTTTTTTTTTTTTCCAGAATTCTGTAAAAATGCAAAGAAAATTGAGTGGTACTTGAGAATTGAAGGAGAAAGTTACCGCAGATTAGAAACATACTTCTAGATTTCAGTACCTTGACACAAATCCACACGATGCTATTTTTCAACTGTACAAGAGAATCTGCTCATGAACTTGACATGATCCCAATGGTGACGTTGAAGGCCAAATTTTTCACCTGTTACTATTTTTCCACATTTGTCCTTGAATCTGATTAGTGTTACGCAGTACTGTAAACTTACCTTGCATCGAGTTTGATGTCGATTCCTGTGAAGAAGAGCTTTTGGCACGTGACAGACAGTGAGTTAAAAAACACAGCAGAGCGTGGGATTTTGCAGGGACGGTTTTGGAACCAACAGAAAATGTCACTTTTTATTTACCATCTTATATATCAGTTTTACCAGCTACTTCTAAATTTGTACATTATTTGGAAGAAAAAAAACTTAAGACTTGTCTAACTTAGTGGAGAATGTGTGTGTTGCCCTTAGGATGGGTAGCTAAGTCTCACTGAGCTGTGTTATCTAACTTGTATATATGAATTGTAATTAAAAGTTTGGATTCATCTGTTTCTCATGGTTGAACATGACGAGTCATTGCAAAGTGTGGAGGCGTGACTAGTCTGTGATTTCAGGCTGTAGACATGAGGAAGCTCTCAAGTGCTAAAACTCAAAACTTCTAGTTTTGGGCTCAAATTCGATTACGTACTGTTTGTATGCCAGAATATGTGAGGTGTAAATGTAGTAGGACACTTTTCACCCTTGTAGCTATAAAACAGACATTTTGTAGAACAGAAAATAGTGTGTACTACTGAATTAACAAAAGTTATACTAAAGTATCATGTCTTTAAAAAAAAATATATATATATATATATATATATATATATATATATACAGAGTTAAGCTTGTCGCTGTTACCCTGTCTGGATTTGAAAAGTGTGCTGATTTTTATATATATATATATTACACACACACACACACACACACACACTTTCACACACACACACACCCCTATAATGGCCTGAAGCAGACATCCATGTAACTACAGTTGCAAAATGCAAACATTCTGGAAAGAACATTGTATCATAGTTCATCCATTTGCAGTGGGTCTTTGCTCCTTTTCCCTGTGGTAATTTTAGAAACGAGTGTCAAGTTTGAAATTAGATCTGCTACATTGGGGTTTTGCTGCTGGAATTCTGCACTGGGTCCTCAAACAAACCGATGTGAATGTAGTTTTTCCCCCTGTGTGAAGGAGCAGCCACACCCCAACAGAATAGGAGGAAAAATCTAGAACTATTTCAAGTTTTATCTTTTTGTATATGAAAATAAATAATAATAAATAAAGTATCCTTGTCTTTTATTTTCTTTTTTAAATTTTGTGAGTATCTCTGTATATGTGTATTTGTATGCTATCTGTGTGTGGATGCCTAGGGAGACCAAAACTGGTGATCAGATCCTCTGAAGCTGGAGTCATACAGGTAGTAGTGAGCCGACATGTGGGTGCTGGGAACTGAACTTGGGTCCTCTGGAGGAGCAGCAAGTGCTCTTAACCACTGAGCCATTCTGTCAGCAGCCCCATGGAGGGAGTTTGACATTTCTTTTTATGGGAGCTAGAAGTCAGTAAGATAGCATTCCCTGCTTTCAGGGTTGGTTCTAGTCTGTGGGTTCCTGCTGGATACACATGCAGTTGCTGACTGCTGTCGTGGGCCTGGAGCTAAGCACCATCTCCCTATCTGCTGGCTGGACAGCTGAGACGGTTAAAGATACCGTCGAAGCTGGAGTTTGGACCGGAGTTTGATCCCTACAGCCTGCATAAGATGGAAGGAGAGAGCTAACTCAGCCAAGATGCTCCCTGTCCTCCACATGCGCACCATGGCATGGACATGCACAGACACACTAGTAATGATATAGGAAACTTCTAAAACCAAAGTGGAACCAGAGCCCCATAACTAGTGGCACCACGTAGCTAGAGTACCACAAGTACTCTGGTATCGGAGTACTTGGCAGATGAAGGTGAGAAGGCCAGGGGCTCAAGGTCATCTCCTAAATGGACTGTTGTGTGACTAAGGGTGAGTTCTTGAAAGGCAGGAGGATGTTTTCTGAAAGCGCCAGGAGCCCCACCTCAAGTCTTCCTGTGCTTTGCAGCCCATGCTGAGCAGTATTCTTGTGAGTGGATCAGAGAAGGCCCGGGTTTGGGTGCAGGAGACTTGCCCTGCCAAACACAGCAAAGTGTGGAATCGCTGCTGAGGCACTGAGAAAATAACAGCACCGAATGAGAACACGAGTCCTCAAGGGAGTAAAATAACACTGGTTCGTTTATCTATCTATCTATCTATCTATCTATCTATCTATCTATCTATCTATCTATCTATTTGGGTTTTTCAAGACAGGGCTTCTTTGTTTAACAGTCCTAACTGTCCTGGAACTCACTCTGTAGACCAGGCTGGCTTGGAACTCACAGAGATCCGCCTGCCTCTGCCTCCTGAGTGCTGGGATTAAACGCGTGCACCACCACAGCCCTGCCCAACATTTATTGCCTAGCAGAGAACACAGCTTTAGAAATGAGCTTGTTGCTCTCTGCTAACAAGATTTTAGGGTCTATGACTAATTTGTTTAAGTGGAGAAACATTGTTTTTGAGTCCTACTTCTGGCCGGGCAGATACCTTTTAACTCTTCCTTTGCTAAGCATCTGTTTGAAGGCTCTTACGTGGCTCTTAACAGGCCAGTTGTTCGACCTTTGGCCCTTTTAGTCCTTTAGATATAGAAAGTTAATGTTTCATTAGTGAGTGCAGAGAAGGGAGACTTAAGACTCTTTTAGCCAGGTGGCCATGCCTTTAACCCTAGAACTGTGAGGCAGAGGCAGGTGGATCTCTGAGTTCAAGGCCAGCCTGGTCTACAGAGTGAGTTCCAGGACAGCCAGGGCTACACAGAGAAACCCTGTCTCAGAAAAGAACACAAACACAAATAACTCAGTTTCTTTTTTTTTTTGGTTTTTTGTTTTTAAAAGACAGACTCACCATGTAGCCCTGTCTGGTCTGGACTTATTACACAGACCAGGCTGGCCTTGGGCTCTCAGAGATTGGCCTGCCTCTGCCTCCTGAGTGCTGGGATCAAGGGTGTGTGCCACTAGGCTCAGGAACCCTCACATTTTTGACAAAGGAGCTTGGGGATGGAAGATCTTTGATATTGTATTTTAGGGCTTACTGTCACTCCCTTTAGCAAAGGAATTCTTTTGTTAAATGACACTGTGGATCGTCTGTAAAAATAGACTTGAGAAGTAGAAAAGAACTCAGGAATGATCACCTTGTCCCCACTGATAAATCTCAAGCATCCCTATGGAGTACTGGACTCCCTTGTACAGTTTAAAAACTGGTCCTTTTATTTTACAGGAGGACAAACCAATTCCCGGATGTTTCACTGTCCCAAAGCAGCAGTTCCTCCAGTTCTTGGGGCCAAGTGGCATTTACTGTGACATTGAAGTAAAAGATTTGGATGTTACAAAAAAGATCTGGATAATGAAAATTCACCTATGTGTTTTTTTTTTTTACTTAAAAATAAAAACTGTGGGTGTTTTTCTGGTATCTCTGCACACTGTGCTGTGTGCATGATAACCAGAAGAGGACATTGGATTCCCTGGGATGTCCTTCTAGCCTGTTGTGAGCCTCCATGGAGGTTCAGGAATTGAACCCAGGGCCAGTGCTCTTAGCCAATGAACTATCCAGCCTCATCTTTGCACTTCAATGAGTGTAACAAGTTCTAATGGCAGCCACCAAAGTAGCCTTCATGTCCACTGACTGGTTTTTTTGTTGTATAATCAGGGCTTTCCATTGCACATGATAGAAATTTTTAGGCTAAAAGGGGCTGTAGTGGGAGGAACCGGGTGAGGTGGCCACCTGTCTTGGGAAAAGGCTTGGAGGATGGGTTTCAGGAGCCTTGAGAGCTGGGGTCACTGAGTTGCAGGCCCTCCAGACCTGCACTTAAGCATTTGTTCTGTAACTGCTCCGTGGGGACCAGATGCAGCTGCTCATTTGTTTATTTGGCTGGACACTAGTCTGTAGATGGACAGAGTTGGGTATTTCACAGGCTTACTACCTGGAATTTGTTTACTTGACTGGACACTAGTCTGTAGATGGACAGAGTTGGGTATATCATAGGCTTCCTACCTGGAATGTTTACTTGGCTGGACACTAGTCTGTAGATGGGCAGAGTTGGGTAGATCACAGGCTTACTACCTGGAATTTGTTTACTTGACTGGACACTAGTCTGTAGATGGGCAGAGTTGGGTATATCACAGGCTTACTACCTGGAATTTGTTTACTTGACTGGACACTAGTCTGTAGATGGGCAGAGTTGGGTATATCACAGGCTTACTACCTGGAAAGACTACCAGACCTGTAACTCCCTAGAAAGGGCAGCTGACCTAGCTCAAGCAATCAGGATCAGAGACCTATGAGATTATACATGACTTCATAAGAGGTACACTTCGGGAGGAATTCCTCAAACAGCTTTCTCTGGTTGAGGCTTTTAAGACAATGCTTGAATTTCCTTAGTTTGTCACTAGAGATGGCCTCCTGCTGAGTGATTATCTTTGAGGTGAGATGAAATGAATTGTTTCCAGTTAAGAAATGGGAATTGGGGATGTGAGTCAGTTAGTAGAGTACTTGCCTAGCATGCTCTAGGTTAGGACCCCCTGCATTGACTAAATTGGGCATAGTGGTGGACACCTGGAGTCTCAACATTCTGGAGGTGGAGGCAGAAGAATCAGACATTCAAGTCCACCAGCTTAAGGCTATCCTGGGATATGTGAGTCCAGGGAAAATAGCAGTGTACTGTAACAAAACTTCAAGTCCATCTGGGAAGCTGGATACTGTACTTCAAGGTACACGAGTTGATCTGAGTGATAATCTGTTAAACACCCATGTTCTTCCCTTATCAGTGGATATTCACCAATCAGTCTTTTTATATTTATTTATTTGTATTTTATGTACATTGGTGTTTTGCTTGCATCTATGTCTGCGTGAGGGTGTTGGATCCCCTGGAACAGGAGTTACAGACCGTTGTGAGCTGCCATGTGGGTGCTGGGAATTGAACTCAGGTCCTCTGGAAGAGCACCCAGTGTTCCTAACCGATGAGCCACCTCTCCAGCCCCCATCAATCAGTTTTATATTCTAAGACCAAGTAGAGTGGTGCCATAGAAGTGGCTAACATTTACAGTGTGCTTGAAGGCATGCATCGTATGTGCTACCTCCTTAGTCCTGAGATGAAACCCTGTTGTCTAAGATGATGATGATGGCGATGATGATTTTAACTTCTTTTTTGAGATAGATCTTGCTATGTAGTTGAGATTCATTTGTAACTCACTATGTAGCCTACATTGGTCTTGAACTCAGATATTACTTCCTCAGCCCTCCCTAGTGCTTGGATTATGGATCAGCTCCACCAAACCTGATTACAATTTTATCACATTTGTTTGTTTATGTCTGGCTGTGCATACCTGTGCATTCAGGAAGGCAAGGGCACACCTAAGAAGGTTAGAGGTCAGCTTTCAGGAGTCAGTTCTGTCCTTCCATCCAGTGGGTTCCAGGGATTGAACTCAGGTCGTCAGTTTTGGTGGCAAGCACCCTTACCAGATAAGCAGTTTTGCTGGCTCGGACACAAATTAAAAGCGGAGACATGATGGAGTGGCACACCTGAGTAGTTTGGCAGGGACTTAAACTTCTGAGCTCTGGTCCAGAGTCTCAGGTTACCATGGAGTACTGTTTTGCCAAGAAACTCGATCGGAGGTACAGACACAAAATGTGTGTGCATTTTGACTCTGAAGCCAGGCGTTGCAAACAGATCCAATGTGGAACAGGTTTTGGAATCACACCGAGTTGGATCATGAGAACGTGTTTACTCACTATTAAAGGAGACTAAAGGTATTTTCTGAGGACAGTGCATGACACAACTCAGTGTCACATCCCTGGCTCGGACCGGGGATGGAGGCAGGCGCGCCTGCTCCAGCTGGTCACCAGGGGGCGCACGAGGCCCTCAGCTGCGAAGGGCTCTGGGCGGCGGCTCCAAATCGCGCGTGCGTGCCGCGTTCCCGTGCTTGCGATTGGGCCATCCTGGCTTCGGGCCCTCGGTGTGCGCATGCGCGGCAGAGGCAAAGTGCTGGCGTCTCCGGAGTTATGGCTGCGAAGAGCTTCGCTTCCCGTCTCAGGGGCTCGCGGCGGTTTCTGAATGGCTTCCTGGCCGGGGCTGTGGTGGGCGCCGCGGGAGCTGGGCTGACGGCGCTGCAGTTCCTCCGGAGCCGGGACGCGGGATCCCCGCACGGTGAGTCTGCGGGCGGGCTCCATCCCCGGGCTCGGCCCCACCCGCCCCTTCTCCCGCCCAAGTCTTCACCTCGCTCTGCGGGTTCGCAAGTCACCGCCCTCCATCCTTAGCTCCACCTCGAGCTGAGACTCTGTTTGTTCTCCACCTTAGGTGCAGCACAGTACCTGGTACAGAATTGGCCTTCAGTAAGTGTCTTAGTTTCTTTTTGCTGTGACAAAAAGCAAACAAAAACCAGGACCCGACGGAAGCAGCTTCAGGGAAGGGCTTGTTTTAGCTCCCAGTTCGAGGTGCAGCCCATCATGGCGAGGAAGGAGCTCGAAGCAGCTGGCCACATTGCTCCCACAATCAGGAAACAGGAACGAAGGCTTGCTGCTGCTCGGCCCCCTTCTCTCCCATCCACACAGAGTGGGATTCCCAGCCCGGGAACGGCCCCGCCCACTGTTAAGCTGGGGGTCCCCGCGTCAATGAATACAGCGGTGATCCACCCCCCTAGGCATACCCAGAGGCCTCTCTCTCAGGTGATTCTAGATTCTATCAAATTGACATTAACCATCCCAGCAAGTATGTGTGAAGGAGTTTCCATGAAGGCTGTCTGCTACCCAGTTTTCCAAGTATGTAAATCCTTACGTTCCCGGGGCACCTACAGGCCCATCTCATTCCAGGACATGAGGACAACCTGCTTCTTTGATACTTGCATTGTGCCAGAGGAATACCCCGGCGGTTGGTGCTTGGGAAGGCATGGGGAGGAAGGAGTGACTGGTACCCGGCTCACTGTTGAGCGTGTGCTTGGTTTTTTTCCACTAGGAGAAAGTACCACTTTCCCAGTCTTCCTGCAGCATACCTATCAGTCTTTCCTTGTATTAAAACATTGGGGAGTTTTAGCGAGGGATGGTTTGAGTGGGTTGTTTTTTTTTTCTTTGAGTCAAGGTCTCATTGTGACCCAGCCAGGCATCAAACTTGTTGGAGTAACAGGTGTGTGCTCCCACTCATGGAATTATGGTCTTTAGGAAAACAAAATGAATACTTAGCCTGGCAGATGAGATACTGTGATGATGAAAAACTAAAATTATGGCCATTTTTGTCTCCTTAAGTATGAAGACCTTTCCCATCCAGTTTTATCACTGACTGATAGCTGCAGCGGCATGATGTTTTCCTCTGCGGTCTCCTTACAGTTTGAGGTGCAGACAGATTTGGAAAACTAGTAAGATCGGGTTTGTATTTCTGTTTGGTACCAGGAATTGAAGTTAGGGCCTCTAGTGTGTGCACAGCTGTTGCTGGGCTATGCTCTGCCTGCACCCTGCACACCAGGCCTTTCTTTAAGTTATGACTGAGTATGGCAGCACATACCTGTAAACTTGGCGGGTAGTAGGTAGAAGTAGGAGGAGCAAAAGTTCAAGGCCCGCCTGGGCCACAGAGTGAGTTCAGTTAGCTTGAGAAATGTAGTGAGACTCTGTTTCAAAGTAAAAAGTCAAAGGATTGGGAATGTGGCCCTGTTGGAATTCTTGTCTAGCGTGAGTGAGACCCAGAGTTCATTCCCCAGCACCTAAACCAAATGCACACCCTGGAGTTGAAGCTTATTGTGAATACATAGCAGAATGTAGGCAGAGGAGGATTTTGCTAAACTGTTTTCTTTGACTTAATAAATAACTGCAAAAGTGAGGTCTGTTTGATTAGACCCTTCTATCCCCAGCACTGGGAATCACACTCCCTGGAGAGACCTTTGAGCCATTTGCTTTTAGTTATCACTGTTGTCTTTGACCTTTTGTTCTTAATAAGAGTTACTAATTACTTGTTTTTATTCACCTCCCCCTTTTTTTTCTTTTTCTTTCTCAGAATCTGCAGAAAAAATAGTCTTGGAACAGTTTGGATTTCCTTTAACTGGAACAGAGACCAGGCGTTATACTAATCATGCCTTGTCTTATGACCAGGCAAAACGGGTGCCCAGATGGGTTCTTGAACATATATCCAAGGACAAGATCATAGGTAGGTGGTTGGAACAAAGTTCAGGTACTGGTGAAAGGGTTTCCAAGTTTAGAGTAAGGGGATTGTTGATAATATTTTCAACCTTTGCACCTCACAACACATAGAAAATGATGTTTATTTTGCTCTCTTATTAAACGGATCAAGCTTAGTATTGGAGGAGTGCCAAGACCCTTCCCAGCTGTTTCAGGGACTGGGAACATCTGTATTTCAACACTTGAGTTTCAAGGCTCCATCATAAATACTGATGCAGTGAGCATCATTACTACCTCAACAGGTCTTGTTTAAACGCCTACTAAGTGTGCTTGTACAGTGACGCCAAGCTGTGGGGATACAGCCAAGGCTAGAGCAAATGGTCTGTAGTAGGTAGTCTTTAAAATTGTGTTGCTGGGTGTGGTGGTGCACAGCTTCAATCTTAGGAGTGGCAGGTGTGCCTAGGAATTCAAGGTCAGCCTCTATAGAAATGAGTTCTCAGCCAGCTAGGGCTATACTGTGAGCCTGCCTCAAAAAAATAAATAACTAAAATAAATTGATGGTACAGTAACTTTTTACTATTTTAATGATAGTATTTTTTTTCTGCTATAGTTTTTTTAAGACATGTAGACCAGGCTAGCCTCAGTTTATCGATCTACCTAGCTGAGGATAACCCTGGACTCCTGATGCTTTTACATCTACCAAGTCCTCGATTACAAGGATGCCCCACTACACCCCACTTACCGTGGCAGTTTCATCCCTGTTTTGTGATTTATCATTGATGGAAGGTCTGTATATTATCTCTCCTTCACTTTAAATGTGTGCTGTGAGGCTGGCGAGATTGCGCAGTAGGTGAAGGCCCTCGCACAGGCTAACCTGAGTCTTGGAGCTTCCATGAGAACACACACACACACACACACACACACACACACACACACACACACAAAATGATAAAGTGTGCTGTCTGTGAGGATTAAAATGCTGATATCAGGATGAGCGTATACCTTTCCAGGACTTACAAACCCAGTAGCGTAGCTGGGACCTTAGAATGTCCTTGTTCAAGAGGAAACTATTGTAGAAGTTGAAAATTGATCCTAATTTTTGTGAGTGTGTGCATGTGTGTCATGCATCTCCAGAGTGGACCTGCAGTGGTCCACTGTGTGTATGTGCAGGGTGGACCTGCAGTGATCCACTGTGTGTGTGTGTGTGTGTGTGTGTGTGTGTGTGTGTGTGTGTGCAAGGTGGACCTGCACCGGACCACTGTGTGTGTGCAGGGTGGACCTGCAGTGATCCACTGTGTGTGTGTAAGGTGGGCCTGCACCAGTTCACTGTGTGTGTGTGCAGGGTGGGCCTGCACCTGTTCACTGTGTGTGTGTGTGTGTGTGCAGGGTGGACCTGCACCTGTTCACTGTGTGTGTGTGTGTAAGGTGGGCCTGCACCAGTTCACTGTGTGTGTGTGCAGGGTGGACCTGCACCTGTTCACTGTGGACAACCTCAGAGTTAGTTTTCCTGTTTTCACCTCATTAGAATCAAGGTTTCCTGTTTGTTCCTGTTTTCCAGGCTAACTTGCCTCCAGCTTCTGGGGATTCTCCTGTCTCCACTTTGTATCTTGCTCTAGGAGCTGGGATTACAGATGTGTGTTACCATATCTGGCTTTACATGGATTCTGGGGCTCCAAACTCAGGTCCTCACACTTGGCATCAAATCTTTACATGGCTGTATCTGTAGCTTTTAACTGTAACTTTGTGTCCCATAAATCCATTTGATTTATACTCAAGCTTAATAAGTTAAAATAATGGAAGAATTTTAATTTTATTAACTTTATCCTGCTATTTGATCCTTTTGAGATAGGTATGAGGAAAGCAATTCTTTCCATTGTAAACCCGTGAGTTGGGTAGTTTTGAGGAGGTAAAGTACAGCTAACTCAGTTGCTTATAAACACTGGTCTCAGTCACTGTTCCCATGCAGTGAAGAGACACCATGACCAAGGCAGCTCTTATAAAAAGAAAGCTTTTAATTGGGGCTGGCTTACAGTTTCAGAGGGTGAGTCTGCTATCCTCATGGGGAGAGTGGCTGGAAGCATGCAGGCATGGTGCTGGAGAAGTAGCTGAGAGCTCCATCCTGATCCACAGGTAGAGAGACAGAGAGAGAAAGAGCCTGGGCCTAGCATGAGATTTTGAAACTTCACAGCCCACTCCCAGTGACTCACCTACTCCAATGAGGTCACACCCACTCCAGCAAGGCCACACCTCCTAACCCTTCTCAGTCCACCAACTGGGGACTAAGCATGCAGATACATGCACCTGTGGAGGCCATTCTCACGCAAAGCACCACTTATTTTCAAACACTTGTCCTACTCAGAAATCTCTTTGAGGTATTCTGAGTGGAGCTCCTACCTTAGATGTTTATTTTGTCATGGTTTAAGAGGCAATAGGCAGACATAAGACATCTTCCTTCCTTTATTCATTAATTCAGTACAAGTAAATTTGTCAGAATATAATTTTGTAAAACAATATACAAGTGCCCCCCCCCCCCCCCCCCCCCCCCCCCCCAGACAGGGTTTCTCTGTGTAGCCCTGGCTGTCCTGGAACTCACTGTGTAGACTAGGCTGGCCTCGAACTCAGAGATCCACCTGCCTCTGCCTTCCAAGTGCTAGGATTAAAGGCATGTGCTACCACCGCACAGCTAGGGGCCTATTTTCTTATTGTTGGAGAGTTTCCTATATGCGTATAACGGGTTTTGATAAGTCCACCCCACCCATATTCCGTCTCCTTCAGTTTCTTCCCTGTCCCTTTCACCACTATTCCCTCCTAGTTTCAGGTGTTTTTTTTTTTAAACCAACCCCCCAGGCCAGTGCTGCCAGTATGTGTCTGGGTGTCAGATCATCTATTGGCACGTGGGTAACTCCTCAGGGGCAGATTCTTGAAGAAAACTGACTCCCTCTCCCAGTAGCCCTCAGTTGCCAATGGCTCCTCCATGAGAAGTGGGGCTTTGTGGCTCCCTCCCCTCTGTTGGGCTTTTGTCTGGTTTGACCTGGTGCAGGTATTGTGCATGCTGTCAGAGCCGCTGTGAGTCACTTGATGGTTCTGGTACACGTTTGTTTGGTGTGGAGCTCTCTGTGCCCCTTACTACCTCCTTGTTCTCACCTGCGTTCTGTCCAGGGTGGTTTACTTTAACTGGAAAGGCCAGAGTCAGAATGTGAGCGATAGCTCCACTGTATGAGAAGCATCCTGTCCTAGACCAAGCCTTGCTCAGATGAAATATCTAAACTGTTTTAGGAACTTGAGACATGCATGTGGTCCGTAATACCAGCTGCTTGAAGGGATGCCTTCCCACAGTAGCCAACTTGCCTGCCTTAGAGGACCCATAGATAACCATTTTGTGTGTTTTTCTTCAGGTGACGCGGACAGAAAACATTGTAAATTCAAGCCTGATCCCAGTGTCCCTTCAACCTTCAGTGCCCTCAATGAGGACTATGTTGGAAGTGGCTGGTCACGAGGACATATGGCCCCAGCAGGAAATAACAAGTTTTCCAGTGTAGGAATACTTTTGAGAGGATGAGGATGTGTGCCTGATGATCTAGGAACCAACTTATAAAGCTTGAGAATGTCGGTGTCTGTCTGTCTCTTGCCTCTAAAAACTAAATTCTAAATGTGAAGGGGGCTGGAAAGCCACTAGGATTTGAAGCTGCTCGTTTTTCTGTCCCTTCACGTTTAATTTTAACTTGTGCATATAAACTGACATTTTACCACCTAGCCACACCCCAGATCCTAAGGCATTTTCAGTTTGAAAAGTTTGAGAGTGGTAGAAAAGTTGAAACAAAGTGACAGTCCATCTGGTCCAGTGACTGCCAGGCTAGAACCACCCTTGACGAGATGGGCGTGGTGATAGCAGCTGTTGGCTACAGACATTGGTACAGAGCTTTGTGTGTGTAGATCAGACTTGCCAAGTGAGCGAGTTTATGGTGGCTGGAAACGGGGAGAAGAGGATGTTTCTCTGCCACTTTTGAACGAAATGTTTTGTTGTTTTTCACATCTCTTAAATATAATTCCTGAGAGTTGGCTTTTCCTCCAGAGGCTTAAAGCCAGAATTTATTCTCAAGCTTTCTTTGGAGGCTTTTAGTCCTTGGAGCGTATAAACATGCTTTTGGATGTTATAAATGGTAAGAAAAGCCAGACACACTGAACTACTTACATTATAGTTCTTATTTTCTGTTACTGTTGTTGTTACTGTTATTTGAGACACTCATGTAGTACAGGCAGACCTAGAGCCCGTTACGTGGCTTAGGATGACCTTGAGTTCCTGATCCCCTGCTTTCCCCTTCTGAAGCGCTGGGATGATAGGCATGAGCCATGTACCCAGCTTATAGTCTTTTTAAAAATTAATTTTTTTAAGGCAGGGTTAGCCCCCTTTTTTTTTTAATTAAAATTATTTTGTGTGTATTAGGTGTGTTTATGGATTGTCTGTGGAAGCCAGAGGACAGCTTTGTGGGTTCCTTCCTGTCACCTTTATATCAGTTCTGGGCACCAGATCAGGGGCAGCATGCCTTTTACCTGCTGAGCAATTTCACTGGCCCTGGAGTTATTTTGCATAATGACAGAGTTTTCTGTCTTGGGCTATTTATGTCTGTGTTTATCTAACTAAGTATTATTGGCTTGGGGCTGTAGATGGGTGATAGCATGATTGCCTGATGTGAGCGGATTCCAGCACTGATGAGTAGACCTGTAGGCGTTAATATGGGGCGATCTGCATCTGCTTGTGGGGCTTCAGAAGGGAAGGCATGCTGGAATAACACGCGTTTTCATTTTTTTTCACAGAAAGCCATGGCAGAAACCTTTTACCTTTCTAACATCGTGCCTCAGAATTTCGACAATAACTCTGGCTATTGGAATAGGTAGGTGCGGACGGTGGTTGGTGACAGACTGTTGGCATGTATGTGCTGTCTCTTGCTCTTGAGATGCCAGTCTGAAGGGCCAGTCAGTCTCTTTGCTGTATTTGGGAGAACAGCCTTCAGAAGATAGCCTGCCTCTTTGAGCATTTGCTTCTGCTTGTCAGGTTTTGAGAGAAACTGCTGAAAAGAATATTCCTGATAGTAACTGAGCAGCGTGTCCAGGGAAGGCACTTTGTTCCTGAGCTCTTTGTGGGCACTGTCAGGTCCAAGGCTGGCCTCCAGCTTGGGATTCTCCTTCCTCAGCCTCGAAAGTTCTGGGGTGGCAGGTGTGCAGCACCACACCTGCCTCTTTCTGAGCTTTCCAGGAGCACAGTTTGGCATGTACAGTTCAACACAGCCGTTAACTATGTTAGTGGTGGAAACGGAAACGTCTGTGCCTTCTGCTTTCTTTGGACATGGTTGAGTTCTGTCAAGTGGTCTCCCCAGGCATCTGAGACTAGCACTGGCTGAGGTGGTTTTGGGCAGTGTGCTATCCTATATAATATTTTATGGTTCAGAATCAGGCTACAGGTGTGCTCATTGGTAGACTACTTGCTTCACATGGTCAGGGGCCATGGCTTCCATCCCTACCACTAAAAACAAAACAAAACAAAACAAAAAAACCTGGGGAGATGGAGCACTTGGAGCACTGCTTGCTCTGCTACAGGATCTGAGTTCAGTTTCCAGCATCATGTGATGGCTGACAACTCTGTATCACCATGGAACCCAGTGTCCTCTTCAGATTCTCACGTGTACACTTACGTACATGCAGGTAACACACACATAAAAAGACAAATTTTAAAAAATAAACATTAAGAAAATGCCCTATACTTAAAAGCCCAGCGGCCAGAGAGGCGGCTCAGTGGTCAAGAGTTTATGTTGCTCTTGCAAAGGGCAGGAGTTTGGTTCTCAGCATCCGCACCAGCTAGGCCACAGCTGCCTGTAATTCCAGCTCCAGGGGTTCTAACACCTCTCCTGGCCTCTGGCACCCGCACCAATGTGCTTGTGTGCAAACAGACACATAAAAACCATGAGAGAAATCTGTAAAGACTTCACTAGTGACCAACCATGAAACATCTGTTTCATTGTGTACTGTAACCCCTACCCCTTGCTCAGATTATAATATATGTCACTATAAATTGTATTTTTAGGAGAAAAGAGTTGTTTTAAATGTAACCCACAATACTATTGTACTTAAAAAATTAACAGTAACTCTTTGGCACCAGCTTTACAGTGTTCATTCCCCCGAGGGTCTTGTTGCTGTTAGGACCCAATTAAGGTTCAGATTTAACTCGTGGACCTTTGCACTCCCTGTAAAGCTTTTCCTTCCAACTTGTTAAAGCTCTGGGGTGTTTTTCTTACCCCTTCCATGTTGTGTTTGCTGATTGCACACCTGTGGGAACCTTTTACATTTTCTTTTCTCAAGGGAGATCTTTGTAAGGAGGAGAACGTACCGGGAACTGGGAGGAATCTGCACTGTAAAAGAAACTCAGGGGCATGGTGGCTGGTGTAGATGTCGTCCAAGTGCAGTATGATGAGTGCATATCACTGCCGTGTTGATGGGTGTGTGTCTCTGCCCCAGCCCTGTCCTGTGTAGATGGTTTCCACTAGGACAGGTGCCGCATGGGGCGGCCAGAACCTGAGTTCATTGTGTTGAGCTAGTAAGGGAGTCTGTGCTCCTAGTGTCTTTAGCCTTTTAGGAAAGATACATTCTGGTGCCAAGTGAAAATGGAATGACTGTTTGGTTCCAGCAGTCTTTGATGATAACGTGTTCTAGAAATTGCCATCGCTTAGGGAATTGCAGTTTAGCATTTGACTTTCACAGGTAAGTGCAGGAGACGGTCTGAGAGACGTTTCAGTGTAAATCTTACCTTCAGCTTCAGATGGGATGAGCTTGCATAGCTACAGTCTTGATACTTCGTAGCCTTGGCTGGCCGGGAACTCACTATGTAGATAAGACTGATCTCTAACCTATACAGATCCTCTTGCCTCTGCCTCCTGGGTGCTGGGATTAAAGGTGTGCGTCATCATGCCTGATTTGATTTTTTTTTTTTTTTTTTAAATAGTTTGAAGTTCAAAAGACTGCTTTAAATGGTGGGGTTTTTTTTTTTTTTTGGTTTTTCCAGTGTAGCTCTGGCTGTCCTGGAACTCACTTTGTAGACCAGACTGGCCTTAAACTGAGAGATTCGCCTGCCTCTGCTTCCTGAGTGCTGCTGGGATTAAAGATGTGTACTACCACCTACTGGCTTTAAAATTTTTTTAGACAGGGTCTCACTGTGTAGCCCTGGCTGGTCTGAAACTCTTTGTAGACCAGATTAACCTTGAACTCACAGAGATCTAATTGCTTCTGCCTCCTTGGTGCCGGGACTAAAGGTGTGTGCCACTATGGACATCCCTAAGTTAATTTCTTCAATGAGATCTTGGTGTTTTTCCTAGGGACTGGGTGACTTGCTGCTTTCTTACATGTATGCTTGTGAACATGTAACATATTTTGATTTGTTTTTCAGAATAGAAATGTATTGTCGTGAGCTGACGGAGAGATTTGAAGATGTTTGGATAGTATCAGGACCATTAACCTTACCTCATACTAGAAGTGATGGAAAGAAAACAGTTAGTTACCAGGTAGGGACTTGTAACATTCAAGCTTATGTTGTTCCATGAACTCATAATCTCATTCAATGCTCTGTTTTTAATTTCATTTATTCAGCATTATTTGCTGGGCACCTGTTGGGATTATAGGAGTAGGGGATCAGTAAAAAACAGTCATTGACTTGAAGAAGCTTACAGTTAAAAGAAGACATTCAACATCCTACTGTGTTAAAGTTTCTTTTTTCTTTCTTTCTTTAATGTGCAAGACGCTGGAATACTTACGGAGAGCAGGAAACAGGCTAAGCGTATGAGAGCTTTTAGTGATGTTAGAGACATGAAAGACTAAGTACTGCTGTGGAAGGCTCCAGTGTTGGGGAGTTCTGGAGCATTTTACAGTAGTGCATTAGCAGGGCTGAGTGTTCTACCAACACAGTGTGACTGGATCTCTTCATGGAGAGGCCCCCTGAGGATTGTGCAGGTACTGTGGTCCACACAGGGCAGGGCAAGAGGTGGAGTGTTTGGAGGGAACAGAGCAGGCGTTTAGTGAATGCTGGCTAGGTCACGGGCTGTGATTCTGTCTAGACCAGATGTGCCGTGCGGTGTCAGCACCTGATGCTTTCACCAGGTTCCCAGGACAGCCTGCTTCACTGTCCTTTAAAGTTGCTTGCGGGGGACTTCTTCCGGTCATGATGTCCAGTCCTTCTGAGTGGTGGGGACGGAGGGCAGAAGAATTTGTTCTTTAAGACTAATTCGTTTCAGATTTCTCTTCTGGCCAAATTGCTAATTTAATTTTAGGGGTTTTGTTGTTGTTGTTGTTTTGTTTTTTAAAATAATCTTAGAATTTGCCAAGTGTTGGTGGAGCACATGGCTTTAATCCCAGCACTCAGGAGGCAGAGGGAGGTGGATCTCTGAGTTCAAGAACATCCTGGTCTACATGGTAAGTTCCAGGACAGCCAGGAGTATACAGAAACCCTGTCTCAGAAAAAAAAAAAAATCTTAGACCCAAACGCATAGAGCTGCCTGTTGTTTTTGATGTAATTAATTATTTTGATGTATTAATTATTTTTGGCTTTGCCTGGCGCCTCTTACTCTCACCACCAAAAAGTCTGGTGGCTATAAACCACCTGAAATGGTTAACTTACAGTTTTACTTGTGTTTTGTTTTGTGAAGTTGAGAGATTTATGTAAATAGCTTGCTGTGTAATAAAATTTTACTCAGTATAAAGGGAAAAATTGACTTTTTTTTTTTCTGAGACAGGGTTTCTCTGTGTAGCTTTGCACCTTTCCTGGAACTCACTTGGTAGCCCAGGCTGGCCTCGAACTCACAGAGATCCTCCTGGCTCTGCTTCCTGAGTGTTGGGGTTAAAGGCATGCACCACCACCGCCTGGCAAAATTGACTCTTAATTCGGTGTCTTATGTAGTTTTTTCTTTCTTAATTATATTTATTATTTAAAACAATTTTTAAATTTAAATATATTTTGATCATATCCTTTTTCTCCCCCAAGTCCTTCCAGATCCCCCCCTTTCTACCCATCCAGCTTTAAGTTTGTTCTCAAAAAAACCCAAAAACCTAATATAACAACCCTCCTCCCCCAAAACCAAGACAACACGCAAAAAGATAAAAAAAACCAAACCCATATATGTATGTATATATATTGGCATGGTGTTTCTGTTACCTGTGTTGTTCAAATGCAATAGTGAAAAATATACATTTAATGTATTGCTTTTCTTGCTGGATATGATTTTCTAAACTACAGCTTATAAAAGTGTGTGACCTACTTTGTCCTGAGAGGGCTTAGAAGCAGTGATATAGGCTTTTAGCCACAGGCAGATCTTATTTTCTAGAAATCACCTCTTGCTAAATGGCCTCAGCACTTTAGAGAAGCGACTGGTTCCCTCCAGAGTAGTCTGTGTAGGGAAAGCACAAAAGTGGAACATCTTGTCCCCAGGCAAGGAAGTGCTCAAACAGACCTGTCGGAAGGGCACAGGAAGGAGCTGGAAGGAGCTCCCACTAAATGTGACTAAATGTGAAAGCCAAGTGGAGTGTGTCCCTGTGGGGTTAGGTCGGAATACCACTGGTGGGTAAATACACAGGTTGCAGGGGACATTCCTGACTGATGTCAGCCAGGGAATTGGCAGGAGTGGAAGCTGTAAGGAGCATTCTGCAGCCATCACAGTAACAAGTGACTCAAGCAGGAATCATCAGTTGGTGGCAGAGTGTGGGCAGCAGTTCTGTGAGGAATAGGGGTGCACTCACCTACCCATAAGTCATTTAATGATCAAAAAGGTGAGAAATGATGACTTACCTTCCTAACCAAGTGACCAAGGTTAGTATCTCTAGCAGTGGCACTTACTTGTGGTGTGCTATGTGGAGGAGAAAAGATATCTCTGCAGAAATGTGTAACATTCAGTCCCATTGTGTGGAAGGGGTGGGCGGAGCCCAGGGGAGGCTTTATCAAAGAGAGAGGCGTGTCCGAACACAGGTTGGGGAACCAGCTGCCGCCCTTTAGTAACTGAGATGAAGACAGAACTTGCACTGTGGCCTTAGAGGCAGAAAACAAGGCTGCTGAGTAATGTTCGGGGACAGCTGGCTACATTTGAGGTTTGGAGACTAGATGATTGTACTCAATTTCCTGGTTTTGGTAATTGTCTGTGACTGTGTAAGTGAATGCCTCTGTAAGAAGACAGTACATCCTGGAGGATCAAGGAGTGGTCTGTGACTTAGTTTAAGTAAGTTTAGGGACAACAGAAAAGAGAATGGTAAAGAAATCAAGGAAAATGTTAACAGTTGGTAGGCTTAGGTGAGTAATGGAGTTCTTGGAGCATTTACAAAGTCTTTTTGAAGTTCAGAATTGAAAAAACAGAAAGATGCTGTGTCTCCCTCTGTTCTCAGTTTTCGTTACGCTGGAACATGTGATGCTGCCAGTGGTGTGACTTGGCTGTTCGTTTATCAGTGGTTGATGATGTTCAGTGTGGTCAAGTAGCCTGAAGAGCTTCAAGAGACCCAGCAGCTCTCCTCACAGTGATCAGATTCGTGAGATCAGTCAGGGTCAGCTTCCTGAAGGGTGTATTTTGAGTGATGGTCTTGGTTTTTGTTTTTACCTTAAAGCTTTATTTGTCTTAGGTCCTTTTCTGGGCTTCTGAGCCTGTATCTTTCCATGTCCCTATTAATTTATGGAGCCTAGTGGTCCTTTTTGTTTGTTTGTTTTTTCAAGACAGGTTTCTCTGTGTAACAGCCCTGGCTATCCCGGAACTCACTCTGTAGACCAGGCTGGCCTCTAACTCACAGAGACCCACCTGCCTCTGCCTCCCAAGTGCTGGGATTAAAGGCGTGCGCCACCACTGCCGGCCAGAACACACATTCTTGCCTTAGCTTCAGCAGTTTCTGGCGTTTCCCTCTTTTGTATTCCTGTCCAGCCTCTGTTGGTCCTTGAGATTATACTCTCAGGTCTGTTGAAAATACAAAACCAGCATTTACAGTATTGCGTATGTAAGTCGTGTGTTTGGATCTGTGGGAAGAGACAGAATTCTGTGTCATGCCTGTGCCCCCTGAGAGACACGTGTGACAACAAAGAACAGGACACAGAGTGGAGGGAGAAGGTGACAGGGAGCCACGGCTGCAGTTTTTAAGAGTGTAGTGATGCACTTTCACTTTCTAGTTCAGATGGTTCAGGTCATTTAATGTCATACTCTTTTCAAAAAGAGAAACCGGTAGCTTTCTCAGATACTATTCTTGGATCCCTTTAACTTTCTGTTCCTTCCCCAGCTTTCTCCTCCTCTTCTTTCATTCAGTATGTTTGTTTACTTACCTTTAAAGACAGTTTTGCTGAATTGCCCAGGCTGTTCTGGAATTACTGGGGTCAAGCAATCCTCCTATGGTAGCCTCCCAAGAGGATGGGACTGCAGTGTACACCATATGCCTAAGCTGTTCACGCTTTTATTAAGTGTCTAGTGTATACCTGGGATAGCTCTTGGGTGCTTCTAGAGTAAAAAGGCAAACAAGGGCCATATAGAAAAGTGAATGGTAAAGGATCATGGGGGAGGAGAGAGGGAGAAAAAGTCGGGTTGTTACCTGGGGTAAGTACCAGCTGTGCAGAAAAGTGGTTGGAGTGAGAGAGAAGCCGAACTTGATGTTCAGGGAGCGGTGCTCTGCAGTGTGACAGCAGTTGGTGGTGAGGAGGAGGTAGGGTGGGGAAGATGGGAGAAGCCTGGACTGGGTGGAGACAGGATGCTCCTGCAGGGTTTTGATCAGGAGGATGGTGTGATCTGGTTTACGTTTGCAAAACCTAGTTTGGCTAGCTGCTTTTGAGAACAAGTGGAAATGGGAGTTGACGGTGGTCGAGCAGCTAGTGGAGCTCTGAGAGAAACACCACTCCAGCGCAAGGGGTGGTGAGGCCAGGCCTCCTGGGGCTTCCTTTGGGGGAGGAGGAAGGAGTCACATTCCATCTGAGATGGTAACAACCAAAGAAGAGACTTTTGGGGGTTACGCTTTGTTATTTTAAGATTTGATGACCACGCAGAGGTGCCCAGTAGGCAGGATGCGTGAGTTTGGACCTCAGAGGACAGGCTTGGTGTCTAGATCAGCTTGGAGTCGTTAGCACACATGGACTTAGAGCTAGAATGAGCTCCATGAGTGTAGCTGGGAGGGGCAGTTGGAGGTCCACACCCTGGTACAGTTAGCCTGAGGTCTGAAGTATGATCAGGAGTCAGAAAGTAGGAGGAGAGGAGGTGGGAGGGAGGTCCAAAGCTGACAGCATATTTCAAGGGGAATGATAATTTGGTGATGGGCCACTGGTAAACTCATGAGCAGTCTTAGTTATTGTGTGTTTTTATTACACTTAGCTTAGGTCTACTTAGTCTTAAGTTCCCTAAGCCCCTTTTCTTATATTCTCTCTTGTGTTATATTAGGGTTCAGCCTGTTTCTAGAAGAGGCAATGTAGGTAAACTTTCTACTCTTTGCTAATCCTAAAACTCTAGGAATGTGTTCCAGAATTTACATGCCTGATGAGCTCTCTCTAGGGAGTTTGACATGG